ACTCAGTATGATGTTTTACAACTCTGATCGTTTCTAAAAAATGAACAGTTTTCTACTACGTATATACTTTAGCTCCTATTGATAGTCCGATCAAAGAACTATGATCGATAGTGGTAGACATACCTAACCTAGCATGGCTTGTCAATGGAAATGTAGTAAATAATACCAGTTTCACTCTGGAGTGATGTGATCATTGATCATTAATCACTTCATTTGCCCATCTCAATGTTATGTATTGTTTCGTTTAAATGTTTACAGCTATTAAAAGCTAGAAGACTCCACTAACAACTAGTAAAGGGTAACTACTGTATAGAATCCTTAGAGAAATACCAGGTTGCAGGTCATCTAAACGTAAATTATAATGTAGCCTGTCCATAACTATCTTGGGCTTTCCCCCAGGTGAAGATATTAGAATTACTTGGGACTGATATGGATAGGCAGCCTAGACAATGATCCTTCAGAGACCAGATGCTGCAAACAGGTCAGGACAGGGTCACCAGTGTTCTTCTTCCTGTAGGGCCATACAGAGAGCTACAGGATCAGTTGATTAGGTCCATCAGCTACACATTTCTTCCTTGCACAATAAAAGGACACGTTAGAAATGGACACTGCAGATTTTAAGTTGCAAGTGACAACAGGAAGAAAAAAGCTCCACTTTCCTGTCCCACCGAAGAGTGACAGCCCCCCTGTGGGGCCCGTTATTGGCTTTCGGCGTCAGCACTGTCACCACCAGCCCCCCTTTCTCAGAACTCCCCCCCCCCCACCCCCCCACTGAGCCTGACGCCTGGGCTTCAAATGAACAGAGGGATCATCGTAAAACAGGGTGCCACAGCTTGCACTGCCCTGCGACAAACACACAGTGCCAGAGCCTGCCAGACATCTGCTCACCAGCTGCCGGCAGAGACTGGGGTTTGGAAATCAATGAAGAGAGAGAAAAAAAAGATGAAATAAGCGCATAAAAGAAGAAATAAAAAATAAAAAAGAGAAAAACAGGGCTGGGGTTTCAAATAAGGAAATACTTTTTTTATTTGAGCAAACTGCTGTTTATCAGTTTCATGTTACATGGAGAAAGAAAAAGATTTGTGTGTGTTTATCATTTGTGTGGTTAATTCAGTGACGAAATTTCATTTTTTACATTTTTTTAAAAAATAAGGTCAGAATTACTCATTTACTTCCTGTTAATGTGAATTACTAGCCAGAATCATCTCCTTGCCCTGCTGGGGGTTTACTGTACTATACTTCTGTTTTTTGGTTTTATTTTTTCTCCTGTCAGAACGGTCCTGACCGGCTATTGCCCTGAAGGTCAGTTCTGTGTAAAAATGACTGTGGCTGCGGGAAGATGGGAAATTTGAGCAATTTTGCAATAACCACAGTACCTCCATCTGATCACAGGTTTGCAAAACTGCTTCCCAGCACTGCAGCACTATCGTCTTTAGAAAGTTGAGTGCTGTAACTCTGGCTTTCAGAATTGTAATTATCCTTGAAGGTGTATTTTTTATCTTTTATTTTATTACAGTTTGTGCCAAGTTCATTATGTTTTATCTGTTTCTACCTCACACTTGAGACGTTTTCCTTAATCCAACACACCGCCTCTAAACTCTGTAATCTGCTCAGTGTGTTTTTTAAATAGTACAAATTGTCTAATTAAAGTAACTCCGTGTGATTAGCAGTACAGTAACCCAAATATTTATCCAGATGCTTCAATCAGTGTTTTCTTAATTGCAGGAAAATATGTTGTACACATTTATTCCAAAAAGCCCATACTGAAATTTTGAAATTTACAACAACTGTTTTCACTTTGCTTGTATTCAAGACGGCACCCATCTGTATTGCATGTGCTTGAGTGAAGGAAAAAGAATCAAAAAATAAAACTTGGGAGTTTATTGATAAAGCTTTGTGGTCTCGGCAGAGCTTGTTGGTTCCCTAATCATTTAATCTTTAAGCGTCTACTGAATAAATTGAAGCTTTTTACTCCAGACTATTAATTAACCGCAGCTGATCATCCAGAAGAAAAACAACCCATAAAAATGTTGATTTCACATAGGAAAAGCAATTCTTGCTGGACTTCTTATCAGGGAGTCACCTTCACACTATTAGTGTTACTTTCAGACAATGAAGAGCATGTTTCATTCTGCAACAGAAATTCTTTAAAAACGTCCCCCTGCTGGTTCATAGTTTGGGGATTGAGTGAATGTAATCTTTACATGCATGTTATGAACTGACCCTGGCCTCTTGCAGATAGAAGAGTGGGCCTTTTAAATCCACAGGAGACTGAACTATCCTCCTCACCTCTTGGGAAAGGGTGAGAAGGCCGTGGAGAGTCCGTGGCAAGTTAGCTAGTGTTTACAACCGCTCGGAAATCACTCTCTTCATGCTGGCTCGGCCACCTCGTTGATATGCAGTTGAGTTCAGCCATTCGGCGGCAGAAAACCTCTCAAAATAGGCAGAAAGATGGGACCGAAGACCGGCCTGCACCCAGTGCTGGCTCTTACGTCTATTTCCCTGTCTAGGTGTTATCACATTAACCATGCCTTGTTGACCTTTCTCTGTGTTCTGCTGTGCCGGGACTGATTCGATGTGTTTGCCTTGAGCTGCAGCGAAATAAAAAGAAATCTCCAGCTTGGATTTCTACTGCGATCCCCCCCCACCCCATAACACTTACATCACCCCACCGGGGAAAAACTGCAAGAGACGCAGGACAGAGCCAGGAAAAATGGAGCATCGGCGTGTGCCACGCGGGTATTTCTGAGTTGTTTTATTAATCGAGGTTGTGTTGATGTTTAAAAATCAGATCCGGCTATAGACGCAGATGAGGATTTTACTCAGTACAAATTAAAACAAATCTTACAACTCCCAATGCTGTGTGATCTGTTTAGGATCTTATGGATTGTGCTGCACCTCTAGCCAGGTGGTGGGGATATCCACTCCCAGTACTTGGGGCTTTCCATCCGAAGAATCCCTACTCGATTGCATCCGTGTTTCTGCTGGTGTCCAGATTCTCTCCTGTCGCACTGGGATCACAAAGGTTGTTGCTTCACAGAACATGGTTTTCTATTTAAAAATAAGTGTGTGCGTGGGAGTGGAATTTCTGCACTTTAATAATAGAGGTTGGTGGATGTCGTATTTTTTCTTTTGTCTGGCTAACTTTATTGTCCCCGATGGGGAAACTTGCTTTGCTGGCAGGTAAAGAAAGTCTATCTGGTTTGTTGTCATCTGCTTTTAGAAGAACCTTATTCACAAGGGTTTGTCATGAGACAGAAATTCACTATTTTATAACGATTTAGTTACCTTAAAGTTCCCCCTGGCTTCTGGACCACTATACTTGCTACCTTTTGTATTTAACAGGCGCACGTAGGTGAGAAGCAGCCAGCCTGTGAACCTGTGACTGAAACTAATCGGTCTGTAAAGAGTCGGAGGAGTTTTTAGTCTGTTTTCGAGAAGCGACCGTTAGATGCTTTATTTGAATGAATGCACTATCAAAATGAGATCACTTGCTTTTCCATACCTTGTCTTCGGAAAGCGTAACATACTTGTTTCTTGCCTTCTGTGTGCTTTGTAAAATAGTATTCGCTGTTAACCTCCGAGAACTGTTTTACAGAACCGAATGACACCCGACAACATGTAGTTGTCTCGATGTTTTCGAGACCACAGAAGTTATTTCATTTTAGCTTTTGCGTACAACGAAGTCTCTGAACCTTAACTGTGATTTTTATTAAACCATCATTTCAGTTTCGAATTCAGTTTTGTGTGAACCCCTCGAATTCAAACACCTCGAATATTTCATCTACAGATGTGATTTATTTTGGACTCGACGTTAAGTGCGTTTTTCTTGCATTCAATTGATTAGTTTTCAAGGCCGTTCCCTCAGTTCTAACAGCGCCATGCGCGCTTGTGTTAGAAACATGTTTCTAAAAACATCGTCAAACCACTCTGAATTTTGTAAATTTCGGATGAAGAGAGTACCGCCGCACAGCTGTGAGCTAAATGACTTTTGCTGCTATAGTGAACAGCAGAGATTTGTCGGTTGTATTTCACTGGTGACTTCGGTTATTGGCAAAAGAAAATCTCTACTCATTTCTGGAGATACCGCGCCAATGAGTGGGATACGACACGCACGTAAAGACAGAGTTTTTTTGTCACTCGGGTGCTGTCTGTAGTTTATTTGGGAAATCTATATTGGAAGTTTGGGGAGGCGTGTTGAAAAGAAAACAATGCAGTCTGGTTATCTTTCGTTTTTCATTGTTATTATTTTGTGGGCCACTGTGATTCTTGATAAACTTTCGATTCTGCTAACGGGACGAATGTGGGGTTCGGTAACGCGCTTTGTTCACATACAGAGCATCATGCGGGCAGTAGGGTGGCCACATTACAATAGCCCCTGCCCGACACATCCGTCTGCACTGCCTGCACAGCGCGTTTCCGTCTGTATAAATACCGCGTCGCTCATTCATAACCCCGCAGTACAGTAACCCGTCTAAACTCCAGCTGTTCCGACGTCAGTCAAAACTGAATACACATGCTGGTTTTTGGTCTCTTCCTACGACCGTTACAGAGAAGTTAAGAACATCCTAGAACAGAAAGCAAGCACTACCGTTCGCCTACCGACTTGTGCAGTGTAAAGTCCGGTGCTCATAAGTAAAATCCCCGTAACGTTGTTTCTGAGATCGCCTACAGTACTTGCGATGCGGGTCCTTAGGTTCAGTAAGCAGAGAGGAGGCACATGGGCGAACGGCAGCCGACTTCACCCCGGCCGGCAGATAGTACGGCTACATGGTTTCTTATGAACCAAAATAAAAGACGACAACGAGTCACGATGGAAAAGAAAGTCTAAAGTATAGTAATGGAACGACCGACTTGAAACATTCCTCCACAGGAGACGGGTCCGAAAAGCCTGTATAGAAGCGAAACCGTTATTTCCCAGATCCTTGTGCCCTGACAGTCGAGAGCGAGCAATTCCGTTATCTTTTCGGCTAGTACGAAGTTAAACAGCGGTGCCCTACCTTGGTTCCTCTTGGGGTTCGCCTGCTTTCTGCGCTTGCCCCTGCTTTCCTCCGCCATCCCGCGTGTGTTAGCTGGCCGGGCTCAAGACAGTTCAGCTGGTGAGAGAGGAGAAACGCTGTAGCGCTCCTCATCTCAGCCCTTCAGGGATTTTTTTTTCTGAGCCATGCTGCGACCCCAGATCGGCACAGAGCGCTCATTAGAAGGTGATGTCATTGGTAGGGGCTGGTCTTGTCCGTAAACTCGCAGGATAAGATTGTATTCGTGTGATGCAGAGCGCTTCGTGTGTTACACGCGGTGTGACAGCGCAGAGATGGAGCTTTTTTTTAATAATCAGAAGGAAAAAAAAAACTTTGCCGGGTAATTCTCTGCCTCTCTCTCTCACTATTTCTCTTCCTCTTTGCTGTTCTCGGCACTGCCACCGCTAATGCGGGGTTTCGCGCTGGGTAGGCTAAAAAAGTTAAAGAACTGCTAAGTGAGAAGTCGACTTTACTCCTGACCCAGCTGCACGGAACCCAAAACGGAGAAGGGAAGGTGTTTAGATGATCGGAGAAGGGGCTATTTTAGAACCGATGCCTGTTGGTTTTTAAGGGACATTCGTGCGCCTGAACATATGAAAAAGCTACAGGCGGGCTAGTACTGTACTTTTACAGGGCTCGTGTCTTTCTGACCCCTCGCCACTTTGTCTTTCGGTTTATCAGCCGCCCCCAGCTGCATCAGTCGAGATTGTCAGAGCGGAGCCTCCCTTGTCTCGCCCGGCTCCTGGGCTGCTGACGCGATAAGGTGGGGGGGGGGGTCAGTTCGGCGCCCAGCCCAGCCCGACCAGCGCCCCCGGCCCTCACCCGTCCGCAGCCGGCTGGGACAGCCCTGCTGCAGACCACGGCCTCCTCGACACAGCTCGCCTCCACAGTCAGTCAGTCAGTCAGATGCGCGCCTTCACACTGAACACCCCTTCGCCCCTGTCACATTCCAAATGACTTTTCTTCTCTCTGCCTTCTGCTTCTTGCTCCGAGCTGGTAAATATCCAGCGCCCCCAGTCAGTCCATTGTGAAATGACCGTCCGGATATGTAGCGCCGCTCACGGCGCGAATTTCGACCTGTGCCCCATTTCTTCCAGCGATCGCATTAAGAGGTGGAATGTCCGTCCTTTGTGTTGAGGACTTAATGTTTTCCCCCTATATTTAAACACCTCTGTGGGTCTTTCAAAGACATCTTCACTCTCTCTTCACCGATTCACCTACTGCTGTTCCCAGAGGTTTTTCCCTCTCTGTATCGTTAGCTGAAGTCACACCAGAGATCTTCTAAGAGTAATGGTTATAAACCAGCAACAGTGGAATCATTAATTAACGGCTTGCTTTGTCGATAATGGAATTAAAATCACACTTTGCTTGATCATCACAGCAGTATGATAACCATTCATATGGTCACTCATGCTAACGAGGTCGTTTACCACCATTATTTAATAAGGAAAATATCCAAACTTTATTTCTTAACCATCGAGAGGGAAAAAAATAATAAAATTCGAGGGCAGAGACTGTCTCTTCAGGGGCTCCGCGTTAACCCTTTGTCTCGAGCTCCCTGAACACTTGAGCACACTTGGCTCGTGCACCGCAGAGCAGTCCGTCTCTCTTGGCCCGTCTTCAGAAAAAATTCTCATTACAGTACCTCCTGCTTGTTTTGAAAAAGAAAATTCAAACTTAATGATATGAAAAAAATGGACAGCAACTTGAGCTACTAAAAGACTAGAGTTTTCATGAAGAATTTACACCTACAAACTTGTTTTTTCTGTTTAACGCCTGCGTGCGTGTGTTTTGCCAAAGCGCTTAAACCAACTATGAATAGAGACGCCCGAATATGGAGGAAACTCTTCTATACGAAATCAATGAAGAACCGTACAGTTGTTTATCACGTCTTCAGTGGTTGCTGTTGTCTGTTAAGAAAGTGTCGGCAGTTCGCCAATGCGCGGAGTTTTCCCCTTTATTCTACGCAGAGCCCAGCGGGACTGAGGAGTTTCTGAGAAAATTCAGGTTGTAGTGAGGCATCAGGCACGATTCCTCTACTTCGCTTTTCAAGAACTCGGGAAGTGTTACTCAGTGTTTTAGGGGAAAAACAGTTACAAACAGTTATCCTATACTGTGCTAATTGATACCATGAACACATGAACCTACAGTACAGGAACGGCTTTTTTTTATGAGCGGCAGAAGCCAGCTATCGCTTGCGGTGCCAGGAGAGAAGGTCTTTTTTAAATTAAAATATGCGATGTACACACACAAGCAACGAGTCATGTTTAACAAATGGTAACAAACCAACTATGTCAGAAAGTAAGTCAGAAAATCTCAGACACAAATGTCGAAAAAAATCGAGCTTGTCTTTCTTAATTTTTGGTCATTACATTATCTGTACTGAGAGTCATAAAAACCGCAACAAAATCTGCGGGTTACAGTACCATATACTGTAGAACTCTGTGACCCTTTTAATGGCTCAGAATCTGGACTCCAGGTACCCCGGTTCTAAACTGAGAAAAGTTACAAGAACAGTAAATGCCATCCTGTGTGAGAGCCACTGGCAGAAGTACTGTACCTACTGTACAGTGTGCCGCCCTTGCTGCTATGAAAACGTCCTGTGCCGAATCATTCCTCGCGGTAAGGTACAGACACAATAAGGACGGCAGCCCTTTTTAACACAGAGATTGATTTTGTCGGAAGAGCAGACGTCTGTCAGGGGCTGTGCTGATTTCTCTGGAGCAGTGAGAGTGCCTGCATGTGTACATACAGCTCTCGACACAGGTACTGGAGACCTTCACCTGAAGCTGGCTGATTCACTTAACCACCTCGTCTGCCCCCTGCCATGATGGATGAGTGTTTCAGTTCACAGGCGGCTAAAATTGTACCCACAGCCTTGTCTGAATGTGAGGCGGCAGCATCTCGAAAGCCTGTGTCGGTTTCTCTCCTTTCTAATAGTTTCTTTTCGCATCGCTGAGGTGTCGGGCCGCTGGGGAGTGCTGTAGTGTCTCCGCGTTCACACTTCAGCCAGTGGGGTACGCGGCTCTCTACAGAGCCATGAACTTTTTTTTTTTTTCCAATTTCAGAGACAAAAAGCGGCCCGACGTGTTTTCTAAGTTTTATTATCAATAACTGCCAGGACATTTCTAAGTTCGGTGCTCATTAGGCTCCGCTCAGTAAACGAGTGCTGTCACGAACGGAGAGCGACAGGCCTGCAGTCTCCCTGCCTGGGTTTCACTGGAGAGATGAGTCTCGACTGAGTCTGTGCTGGGTTACAGCGGACCGAGGGAGTTCAGTTATGAGCAGTGAGTTAACAGGGCTGCACTAGGGTCAGTGCCTTCCACAAAAACCAATGGGCAGTCCCTTTTCTCCTTGTGCGATGAAAAGACCCCCAGGTGCGGAGATGAGGGGGTGGAGGGGGGGGTCACTATCCTTTTGTCCGGTGAAATAAAATGCACCCCAGCTGGCCAGTTCAGCAGAGGTGTCTATTGAGCCCTGCTGCAGGAACCCCTGTGCTATTGATAGCCTGTAGAGCTGTCCGCAGAGAGCAGGGCGCAGGGGTCCTTCCACTGCCTGAACGGGAAATAAAAAGAGGATTCCGCATCTCAACAGAGGCCAGAGTGGGGGGATACCCCTTCCCACTGAGCCATTGTGCATCATCTGTTAGAGGTTCAAAGCTGAGAGCGTGGAAGGGAAGGAGGGAGGGGGATGGGGTGCTTAAAAACATATTAAGCAGAGTGAATTATAAGCTCACCACCAACAAAAGCAAAGCTTTCACTGCATGGCTAAAAAAAAGGAGAAAGAGAAATGATTCTGCTGTCTTTGCAATTTCAGATCTGTATATTTCTTTCTTACTATTATATTTACTATTGTAATTCACAGCAGTGTTCCATTTCTATGCTGATCCTGTGTTACTATTGTGATTCTTCCTTTAATCTGTGAAATCTGAGACCTTTGGTCTTCTCTCTCTTCATATATATATAGTGCATGTGTGTGTGAGCTCAATATTCCTTATGATTGGGTCATTTTTGGACAGGAAGACAGGAAGACTCTCAGTGGAAGTGACACATTAAGAGGTTAGGTGGTGCCCTGCCTTATTTCACAGGCATTGTGAGACTCAGACCTCAGCCCTCCTGAGAGCTATGAGTGCTGTCTGTTTGTTTGGTGCTCTCCACTACCACTATAAATTGCACCAGTTATTAAAAACCTCATTCTGGGCATGTGAAACAGGCCCTGGTGAAATGAGTCAACCGTGCCACCCTGCCAACACACAGCTCTACTAGTGCCACAGAACAGTAAGGCACAGCGCCATTGTCTGAATGAATGCAGCCCTTGGCTGCCAGAAACTAAATGACTAGGTCTCCACTGGAGCTGTAATACTCCCAATGCTGTTGCCATACAAAAGCCTCTGAGTCCATCATGTTATTAACGAGAATTTTATTTAATGCCTTTTGAAAAACAAAAGGAAGAAAAACGGTTTTGACTTTCCTCAGTCTCAGTTCTTGGGGAGCAGTGTTTGAATTTCTGTAGCCAGGATCTTAATCAAATCTTACTGGCTGAGCTCTTGTTACCATTTGGCCAATAGAGACATGGTGCATGGTAGTTTAATTAAGGTAATTTCCCTCACAGAGCAAATTCCATCTGGTTACGAATATATCCGATCTGACTCTGTTGCCTGTCTTCTGGTTTAAGTGACACTTGTGTTTGGCTGACCATGATCTATTAATCATCTTATTATTTAACCTGCTCTTTAGTGTATTATTGGAAATGTGTCTGAAAAAAGTTTGTATCATGGCTTTGAGGTTCTGAATTCACACTAGTATGAATCACACAGCCTGTGGCTGGCAGACCAGGGGAAAACTGGAGGCTTCTGTGGGTGTTAATGGACTAACACAACTGTGTGTGAACTGTGCTCCAATGCTGGCCCTCCACACCAGGGGCTGAGAGCTCTATGCCGTCTTCATGACAGAACATTTCATGGGACAGACTAACTTTGTTTTTACACCTTTCACAACATTGTGATTCAAAACACATGAGTTCTCAAACGAGAGAAAGAGTGAGAGAGAGAGAGAGCAAAAAAAGGTTTGGAATGTTTCTTAATTCCCAAATGAGGTCAGCAGGGTAGTGTCTCTGGTGATTTAGCAGTGATGCAGGAAGAGGAGGTGGTGGGGGGAGGAGATGGAGGGGGGGGGAGGTTTGTGAGGAAGGAAGGCCTGTGGTCAGTGAATCAGTTTGACTGTCTTTGTGTTCCACCCACTGTACAACAGTTGCTGCCATTCCACCTTTCGCCATGACCTCCTTTTAGCCCAGGGGAGCATCAGAGGCTTCCCAGCAGCCCCAGCGAGCTGAGATGGCTTGGGATGGGCCTGGCCATGCGACAGCCAGTATCGGGCATCTCCGGGCCAGCCTCTCAGCTCACAGGTTCACAACACAGGCAGGGGTTAATGCAAAAAGAACGCACAGGAGGTGTTCTTTTCCATAGCGCTGCAAAAGACGTTTCAAACACTCAGACCCCTAACGAGTAAAAAAAGAAAAAAAAAAAAGCAGTGAGCAGCAACCCTTTGGCGATTTATACTGGAGTGTTGCTTCAGATTGGATTCTGGGCTTGAAGCAAAGTTCTGGTTGGAAAACAACAAAAAAAAGAAGCTGATGGAAAGTACGACCACATCCAGGATTGCAGCCCAAATTGATTATATGTTTCCTTCAAAGTTCCAACGTCTCGTGAAATAATATTGCTGCCTGTTCAATCTAAATCGGTAAGAATGACCTACATTATCTCATCCTTTATTTTATAAAAAAAATGCTAAAAAGAAAACTTGATGATGTCTATCTCAATATTTCACTCTTTCTCAGCAGACTGTCTTGCTTTTCCTTGAATACAGTTTATCTGGAATTCATTTTTTAACCAACACCCACAAAAGGGCTCCCTCTAGTGGTTTATTTTCACTATGTCAATTCTGTTTGGGATTAACGCGCAAAGTTTTGTTACGAAGCTTTCAGCTCTCTGTACCTCCATCTAGCGGTTATTGCGGGTATCACAGTCCAATACTCCAGCACGATTGTCCTTTCAGGTTATCGCATCACATTCGGTAATCGCCCATTCACATTCAGCGTCACGGTGGCCTATACGGAGAAGCACTGGGTGCAAGGTGGGAGACACCCTGGATGGACTGCCAGTCAATTGCCAGGCACTCAGAAAGAACAATGCATACATTCACCCCAGGGCCAGACTCCCAGAAGTCAATTAAGCTACCAGTATGTCTTTGGACTCTGGAAGAGCACCCAGAGTAAACCTATGTGAATACAGGGAGAAGCTTCCTATGAATTGACAGCAATGCTAATCACTGTGCCACCAGGCCGGCCCCTTTAAGGTTACATTAAACTGAAAGACTATTTTTGTAAGCATTTGTTTTGACAAATCACCCTCCAGAATCGTGGTACAGTTTCCTTTTTTCCCTTAATTCAGTAATGTGGATCTGAAAGGGGAGTTTTCTTTTTTCTTTCACTAGATGAAGATTTGTCACTTGTGTTAATCACACACGCAGCCTGTTTGGGATGGGCGATTGTGTCTTGATGTTGGGGGCTAGCAGTGCCCACCCCTGTACCCACTTGGGGAGGATGTGTCCGCTGTGCTACAGTGACAGCGCACCCTCTCACTGACATCACCGTGACCCACCCATCCCACCATGCCGACCCCCCGCTGTCAGGGCGAGAGCCGCTCGGAGCACACGCTGATCCTTCCCATCCAGCAAGACCCCAGGATGCTCCGAATCTCCCGCCATTGAAATGGCCGACATGAAGGGTGACATGTGCGCGCTCTTGTGCTTTCTGGAGAGCTGTGTGGCTCGAAGAGAAAAGGACTCCAGCGAAGAACCCATTTCGTTTGACTTATTTTGGGAACATAGCGCCGCGCAGGCCGCCTCCAGGGGATTCACAGGGTGAAGGCTAAGTGGGGTTTTGGCTGCATATTTCAAAGGAATTAAAAGGATGAACACGGACCTGGCAAGGAATCCTCAGCTTATAATTAAGACTGAATTATTCTTTGGTATAAAGATGGGTTTCTGTCTTTCCATTCTCTCGGCCAGAACTAATGACAGCCTCTGTCTCCCTCTTTTTTATTGTCTGCAGTACAATAACAAGACTTTCGTATCATGTGAGCCTGGTTGTTTATGTTGCTCTGCGCGGCTCTAAGATGTGGCCCCCTCTGAGGTTTTCAGTTTTTCAATTCAAGGCCCTTCCCCCCCCACCACCGCCACCACCCCCTCGCCCACCAACCAACCAGCCAACACCAGGACTTAATAATCAACTGCTGCGCCCCCCTCCTCTGCTGCCAACACTCACACAGTGGCACACACAGTCTAATGCTCCTGGGCAGCAGTCAAGCTGTTTCCCATTGAGTTACTTCACAGATGGGGAGCTCCAGGCTCCATTGTAATCACACCCTACATGAGTGGCGACAGCTTTCCTTCACGTACCAATTCAAAACATTCCCCCAAATCAGAGAACCCAGCTCTAGCACTATTAACCCTTCACTTGACATGATCAGCTACAGTACATCTCTTTGGAATATATCTCTGAGTGAATGGAATTTATAACGCAAGTTCAGGAGGGGCGACAACAGCCAAGTTCAATCAGCCTTCATGTGTAATCAACCCTGACGTCATTTCCCCTCTTAGACATTATACACACTAGACACGATCCCCTTCTCTCCCTCACATCCCACCTCCTTGGTCACCCCTCGCTCTGCATGGGGGTCCCAGTCTCCTCGTCCTGGGGCCAAGAGGTCAGTCCTCGGCCCTCAGCCAAGCGGGTTAGGACAAATCATAGAAACCTAAACTCTCAATAAACCTTTTAATATGCCTGATTCTTGGCTGTGGTCACTCCTAGTGAAATGTATTTTGGTGTTCAGCAAAGCCAAAAGGTGCCAAACTGTGAGAGACGGTTTTGAAATTGCTCTGTCCTGCAGTCAGGGGAGTGTATTCCACTCTCACCTCACGTGTCTTGTCTTCCACCTCCAAGATTGTTTTCCAGGACCATTTAATCAAACAAGGCATCTCCTAGAGCTTTCTAAAACACATACATTTCTCTTAATTGCTTAATTGCCAAATCGAATGTACTACATACACAAACCATTTAATCATTGCATGGTTTGTTCAACACATGTTGAACATCTATTTATTTAAAAACCAATAAAATACAGTATAATACATATGTATAAAAACATTTTTTTTTAAAGTTCACAAAAATATATCACTTGAGTACCTGTATGGGTGCAATAAATGCTGATATTATTAAATTCTTTTGCCAGCAAAGGGTTTTGTGAAAACTGAAAGATTACAAGCTATAGAAATGCTAATATTGCAAAATTACAAGATATTGAAAAAGTGACCTTCTACTACACGAAAGCCATTACATTCTATGTTACATCTTTACCCCCAAAACATCAGGCAGTTAGGGTTGGATTTTTTAAAAAGAAATCTACATACTTTTCATGCATTGTTTTAATCTGCTTTTAATGTTGATCAAAGTCATCTTTGGTTCCCCAAACACAGAATTTAGCATTGCTAAAAAAACATCAAGGGTTAGCAAAGGGAAAGAAGACAACCTAGTTTACTTTAAAATGAACTGTAACCTGCATAGGTTAAATAAAATAATAGCATGGCCACTATATATATACACACTGTATGTAAGACATGGTACACTATGTTTTGCTGTGCGGGAATTGTAACCCACTTAAAGGTACAGAGGAAGCCGTTTTCAGCAATGGCTACATGACTTTCAAATCTGAATGATTCATTTTTGTAGCCTGTTCTGTTACTGTAATTCAAATATCAATTATGAGACGGAGTTAACTAATCGGGCGTGTTTCGATCACTTTAGCAACATCGTTCCAAACTCAAGAAAAGCTGGTTCTAAAGATGCAGCTCATCCTTTTAGACCTACTCTTAAATGCTATACTGCAATGCCACACATAGGACAGCACACAAAGTATGGTGCCTATTCGTTCTGCATTTTTTGGTCTACAATGTATATAATTATACATAGTTTCATTACTAAAATTTTGATCCCCTGTGACTGTTCAGTGGCACGGTGTTAGGAAAGGTGGAAAGCAAGCCATCTTGTTACTGATCATATCAAACTGATCTTAGAGAAAAGAATTGAAAGATAACTGTGAGAAAGAGTCAAGGACTCCATTCTGAACTGGAATGAAAGTTGGATTCTGATTACAATAGCAATGCACCTAAAATTAGAGTCAGATATGTGTAATTTACACTTGAGGTACTCAAAAGTAGCTTTTCAGCAAAGTCCCCCTTTTGCTTTTTTTATGACATATTTAACATAATACATTTTGAGAATACTGCTCAGGTTTTGTTTTAGTGTTCTGTAGCTTTTCTAAGTTGGCAGGCGGTGTTGTATTTGGGGTGTGCTGCAGAAGCGTGTGTTCATAGTATGTATAAAGGCCTCCGTTAGGAATGTGATTCCCTGCGTTGAATGTGGTGTGAAGTTAGAGTTTTAAAAGAAATTTAAAAACATTTGCTATGAAGTCACTGAAAGCAAAGAAAGCTTGGCAATTGTAATATGTCAGGATAAAAAGCACACCAAGCCGAAGTGAGTTCCTGTTAAGCCTTCCCATTGTCTGGGCTTAAAAGTAAAACCCATTCCAGCTTACGGTTACTGTGCACATATAAAACATGGGCAATACATGATTACGTAAAACCATGAAAATCAGCCAGAAATGATGGTGAGGGGATCACAATGATCATTGCGTGCACAGAGCACACTCCAGGCCAGTGCTGTGTATCCATACAAACCAGGCGTACATTCTGCAGGGGCACTGCAATCAATGTCCATGTTTAATTCAAAATCCAAATGCTTGTACTTGTCAAAGGCATATCATAAAGTTTCAGATAGGTAGCATATGTCAATTCTGTGACAAACTTGATCTTCAGATTCGCAATCACATCTTCTCTTTTGTACCCAAAGTTGCCTGACTTTCTATCGCCCACACCTGTCTATCATAGTGGCACAGAAGTATTGCAGTGCCCAAGCAAGGCGAAGGCACTTACTGTCACGCCTAATGGCACTGAATCATTCAGTCAGACACGCAGTCCAAATTTTTTGTTTTGTTTTTTTGCCTTCAAATTTCCAGTCTGCATTTTCAAAACTAACAAATAGCCTCTCTGCCTGTACCTTTAAAGTGTCATGCTCATTGTGCTGAATTGAACAAGAGCTGAAGAGGGAAGCGGTCTGGATCAAAGGAGCTTATAAATAAGGGCCTGACTATAGATACGGTTTAGATTTAATTCTGAATACTCCATTTGAACATGGGCATCTCTCTGTGTGTCGTCCTGTATTCAGGAATTTTAGTTGCAATTTTTAAAGTCTGTTAAGGCTTTGCTGGGAACCCCTTTAATGCAGCAGTCTACTGTAAGCAGTGTAAGGCACTGCAGGCAGGCTGCAGGAGAAGGCACATGAGGCACTGTTTGGAAAATTCCAGCACTTCCTCAAATCTTTTAGGTATTTTTAAATACACATTAGTTGTACTCATCATTTTCTGCAATGGTAGGATCTTCATATAAGCAGTATGCATGTGTTATTTTAATTCAATGAAATGTAAACACCACCTGTCACTGTCTCCCTCTAAGTTTGGACCCTAAGATAAAAAAAAGTAAAAATCTCCTTGAAGCCACATTGAAGGTAATGTGAGGCTGTCCAACAGGCACCTTTGGTTTGGCTAGTAGTTCATAAGATAGTCTCTCTGTGGCTTAAGTCGTTGTGTGCGTGTAAGTTTTTAAGGCTTTACACAGCCTGCCATTTCTATGACAGCGTGTTGAGATACTTGTTCTCTCCAGCGAGAGATGTCAGGATGGAAGTCATGTCCCCCACAGCCATGTTGGACAGGCCAGACTGCAGAGTGAGGGAGTTTCGTGGCGTAGTAAGGCGTGAGGACGTCTGAGACGAGCCCTGCACAGGGTGCGGACTAAAGGAGCCGGGCAGCATTGAAGAGGAGGATTCCTGGTCATCGATGATTGCAGCAAAGTCTATCTGCGCATTCTCTAGGTCCAGATTGTCCAGAGTGTTTGACATTTGTACAGATTCAGAATACGCCAAAGAGGCTGACTTGTTCTGGTCCAATTGGCCCATGTGCTGTTGGTTCATGCAGATCCCTTGCTGTGACTCTTGCCTGTCAAGCTGCTTGCCCACATCTGGATGCATCTGGATCTGCCCAGAGTAAAACATGGCAGGAGTACTGTTATTAACGTTACCGCTAGAAGGAGGGCCAGGATTTATTTCTGGATGAGGTTGGACTGGTGGTAAGCGGATATTCCTCCTGGGGCTGGAAGTAGCCTCATGCCCTGGGCTGAGATGAGGTGGGCTACCCAAGTACCCCTGCTGGTGAGTTAGGCTGTTTTGTCGACTCATTGGTTTGCGCACTTGTGGTGGCCTGGGCACCACATCCTGCCCATAGCACTGGCTGTTTGGGCTTAGAAGGTCTTTGGAGTGCCCTGAGCTTCCTCCCCCATTGTGTGATGAGGGACTCAGAAGATTTTGGTTTTGGTAGCCCATGTAAGCACTCCCGTTATATGGCTGTTGCTGCTGGGGGCTATGCTGCATCAACTGCACAGGACCATCCAGCTCCATTTTATCTGCCATAGGCGCCTGAGGAGGAGGGAGGGGCACGCCCATTTCACCCCGGTCGTGCTGCTGCTCCCACATAAGCGCCTGCTGGGACTGCACATAATTCCGCACCATCATCTCCTTCACATGCATCATGGGAGTCTGAGACCGCCTCCCATCACGCAAGGGAGATCCACCCACCATCCCTGCATTGTTGAAGGAGCCTCGCTGCTGATTGTCCATCTGCCCCTGGAACTCACAACTTGGGGCTCCAGATCTCATCATCATCTGGCCTGGCTGCCGGTAGTTGTGTGGGGGTGGCATGTGCTGCTGCTGCTTCATGTTCCGGCAGGGGTTGGAAGATTGGTGGGAGAGGTGGAACTGCTCCTCAGGTTTTATGGCCTGCTGATGCGGTAGCTTCTGATTGTTGTTATTGAACATGGCCTGCTGGTTGCGGTTGTTATCTGGACCAACAAGACTGGGGTGGCTCCGTGTCGGCTGTTGCACCACAGAACCTTGTTCTGGATACTGCCTGCTGCCTGACGCCATGCTTGACTGCATCCCATGTTGGTTGGGGTGCTGGTCCATGCTGGCTGGGTTGGGTTCACACCACTGTGTGGGTATGCTCTCATTTTCATTAGTTTGTCCAAGGTTTTGGTACTGAAGATTAGAATGGCTCAGCTGGCAGGTGGTCATCCCATACCCTGTCTGCTGTATCATAGTGCCAGCCATTCCTCCCTGATGCATGGCCTCCACTTGCCCAACCTGTAAACTGCCCATTTCCCTGTGCTGATTGTGAAACAGCCCTTGACCTTGCATGTCTACTGCTTGGTAGCCTTGCTCACTGCAGTTCAGGTTCTCATGACCAGGAGACAGCTGGTTTGAACCCTGGTGGTAATCGAGGTACCCCATGCTGTCAGTTGGATTCATCATCACGTTGGGATTCCTTGGCTGGTTACTGGTAGAGGAAGGTTCAATAGATGCTATTGCTTCCAGCATGACGTTCTCACTGATCCTGGGTGGGCGAGGGGAATACATATGCCTGAGGAAGCTGGCTTCTGACCCTCCAAAATGCTGGAGGGTGGTAGTGGTGGCATTTCGTCGTCCCATCATGGGCATGTTGACATTGTTCAGGCTGTTGAAGCGTTGGACTTTAGGCACAGACTGCTGATCGGTGCCAGACCTTACTGGGTCACTGGCCCTTCTCATCCCGTTGCCAGGTGCCTGGTGTGGATGGATGATGCCTGTGCCATAGCTGCTGTAATCGTTGCTGCTGTTCCTACGGTTGATTCCCTGCTGTAGGAATGGGGGCACAGGCTGGCCGTGGTATTCACTCATGACGCCCATCCTAGAGTTGGTCCCATGGGGCTCCATATTGGGCAGAGGCGTGGGTGGGGGGCCACCTGTGGCCGCAGCATATTTTGCCTTGAGGCTGTACTGCTGTGCTGGGGTAAGGTTGGGGAGGCCTGGCAAACCACCACCTCCTCCCCTGCACACGGCCGCTTTACGACTGGTCTCGGGAGAGAGGGGGTCTTCTGTGTCCTTGCCCGTTAAGTTTTGTGGGTACCCTCCCATCTGCGACACTTCACTGGAGCGGCGGCTGGAGAGGTAGGGTGAGACCATGGAGGAGCGCCGGCTGACCGTGTAGGCAGAGCTGACGCTGCTAGTGCCACTGCTGCGACGCTCATTCAGCTGCCCGGAAGCTCCTACGTCGTTACTGGACAGCTCCATCACTCTCCGGTTTGACAACATTGGTGACGGGCCACACATGGACAGCATCTCTCCTGTGGTACCTGAAAAACAAAGTATAAAGAAAAGATGATGGGGAAACAGATCTGTTAAACGCACAGGGTAAAGAAGAGGAGGATTTGAAGGCAATATTTATGGACAGAATACAGATATTCAGTGATCAGCCAAACAAATACAGTGGTGTTAATTTTTCAGCAGTTTTGGGGGGCAATCTGATGTGTTCTGGAATGAGTGCAAACCGCTTACTGGGGAGTGCTGGAAGTTTGGCGTTACGGCTGGGGGGCGTCGGTCGGCGAATGTGCTTCAGCTTGTCAATTTTCAGGTTCTCGAGCCGTTTCAAGGCCTGGGCGGACATGCCCGCTGTGCCCACTCCTTCCCCTGCCACACCCTCCTCGAGGGCAGTGAGGTCTTCCAGACTGCCGCCGGCATTGGCATTCATCTCCACTCCGCTGTCATTGTTGTTGGCACTCCCCAGAGGGGATCTCTCACTACTGCATGATGACTGGCCTCCAGGGCTGGGCTGAGACTTCTGAACCGTGTGGACAAAGAGAGAAGCAGCTCCTCTTAGGAATGAAAACAATTTCCTGGCTCAATACACATTTGTACTTGATTAAAGCACTTGTTTTATTAGATCTTTTGGCTGCTTTTGATGAAGTTGAATGTATGATTCTGTAAAATCACGTGTTCTCATGTTGGCCTTACCGGTAAACTTTTCAAATGGTTTATTTGTAAATGAGTGACTTTACATCTGAGTTGGATACTGCATGGAGTTCCTCAGGTTTCCATCCTCGGTCACTATTTTTTTTTATTTTTAACTTTTTATTTAGCAATGAAATGATTTACAAACAGAACGCGTCCAGAACAGCAAAATAAATGTTTCCCTTCATCTTTCATTTTTGTTACATTATGTATGTACAGATAAAATAAACTATTTACATTATGCCATAAATTTTTATTGAAGTACTCAAATTCACGTGTCGCTCCCACTACAGATGGCAATAACCACGCACAGTTACTGTTTGCTAAAAAATGCTTAAAAGAAAAATAGCTATAAATTGTTTGAAATTATATTCAATTACCACTTAGTTTTAATTAATCACTAGGAAGTTGTTATGGACCTGCTGTGACCCAATCAAAGTTTCATAGACCCAATGTTTGATAGAAAGCTCTATCATCTACCAAAATAATCTGGTGTTACACTGTACTCTGATCTCTCTTTAGTTTCACTAAATGTCTTCTGTTGTTAAAACAACATTTTGCAATCTCAAACATACTGCTAGATTATAAACTGTTCTTGACATTCGGATGGTAGATACATGTGCTTGTTACTTTACTGCTCGATTTAAAAAAGCATTTTCTGGTATCCCCTTTACTAAAATCAGAAACTCCACCTTGTTCAAAAAGCCAATGTGAGACTTCATTCTCACACTAGGCACTCTCAACATGCAACATCAAATCTAGGACTAGGATCTTTTCTCGGAGCAATTCTTTAAAATGACTATGTTAATGCACAGAGCTCTTCATCATCGCGGTCTATTATATCTTCAGGACCAATATATTTGACTTGTACTGGTAAGCTCTCCAAAATCTGCATTTTTGGACCAATATATTTGACTTGCTTTTGAAAACAAAACACATGAAAACACGAAGGCCTTTGCAATTACACTTTTCGTTTATAGAATTCTATTCCAATAGATTTTGAGCAAAGGACGTTTAGTTCTTTTTAATCAAAATTGAACTCATTTATAGATGACATTTTTAATCAATGTTGACTTTGTTGTGTGTACATGATGATTGCTTGGTTTTGATTTTTGTGCAGTGCCAAGGGGAAGCTTTAGTATGAAGAGAGATGTATAAAACTAAATTTGACTTGACTTGAGCTCTAGCCCTGTGTGTTTTTGCAGTGTCCTGTGGAATCACTGTAGAGATACTAGTATAATACCATACACTCAATTAGCCTGCATCTGCCCAAAGGGACCATTTTCAGTCTTATCTGCTCTAAACACACACAGTGCTATTGACCAGGGCTACTCAATCTATGGCTCCTCCAGTCCAATACATCCCACGCTTTTTGCTTCATCCAGAATCGTAATTGTTACATTGTCAGTCAATAGGATCAATATAACAATGAAGGTACTCGATGGAGCAAAAGTATGCAATGCTTATAAGGTTAAAAAGCACATCTATGGCTTCGTAGTTTTCTGTCTAAGATTTTACGTCACTCACTAGCAAGATGTCTGGCACGAGCAACTTGCAGTCCTCCCGGCGGCCCTCCTCCTTCTCCAGGTGTAGCTCCTGGCCCTGTCCAGAAGCGGGCAGACTGGCTCCTGGAGGGCGGGGCCCCGTATCCCCGCGGTGCTTCTTGGTGATGTGCGCCTCGGGGCCATGGACGGTTTTCACATGCTTGCGGAGCGAGCTGGGGTCTGTGTAGCGCTTGGTGCAGCCGGGGATCTTGCACACGTAGGGTTTCTACACAGGCAAAGGAACTTCTAAAACCATGGAAGCTACTAGGTGCCTGTGCCCCTGTATTTTTGCTTAGACATGCGGTAGTATGTCTTAAACTTTGATGCTTGAGCTTAATATAATTTGCCACCCTGAGCTGGCAAACGCATTATAGTTGGCAAGTGGTATTTAAGTAACAATTCTTTTGAAGCATGTTTTCTTTCCCAAGAGCCTTCTTTCAAGGCATTTATCACATAAGCGTTACTGAAATATAACCTCTAGACTTGTCCTGTGGGGTCTTTAATATAAGAGCTGAGAGCGTGCTCTTCAAAGGAAGAGAGTCCTTGCAATGAAAAGACACAAACCTCGTTGGAGTGGGTTCTGTTCTGGTGCTTGGCCCGGTCTGAGGCGTTGGAGAAGGCCTTGTTGCAGCCCTCGTGTTCGCACACGTACGGCTTCTCTCCGGTGTGAGAGCGCAGGTGAGTCTTGAGGTTCTCCAGGCGAGAGTACGCCTTGTTGCAGCCTTCGAACTGCAACAACACAGGGACACAGATGCTCTTTTACAGCCCTCAGAAGCCAAAGAGATTAATCTAGGTTTTACAGTTTAATGAACAACTAGTCTTGTTACTGTCATTAACCAACTTTCCAACGTCTCTCAATTCATTAATTCATTTTTCCTTCTTTATATCTTTCTTTCCGTCTAACCTAATTACCTAAAGTCCTCCTAAAGCTCCACAGTTAGCTCAGTGGTGTTTTTAGCCTGGCTGTACCTGTCCCTAATGCTCTTACTCACAGTGCATTTGTGAGGTTTCTCTCCAGTGTGCCGCCTCATGTGGACAACCAGCATGTACTGGGCCTTGAATGGGCGCTGCTCTCGTGAACAGTCCTGCCAGTGGCACACAAACTCCTTCTTCTCCCCATGGATGTGCTCATTGTTGATGTGCTGTGGACAAAATGCACAGTCTAAAAGCAGAGCTTGCCAAATTTACAACCTCGGGGACCCATAATCCTGCAGATATTCTACATCTCCCCTTAAACTCTGGATAATTATAAATTGTTCTGTACACCTGTGCAACTGAGGTTTAATCAGTTTATCCCTACTCCACAGCCTTGAGCTTTTCTTCACTGTCATAAAGGGAGTTAGGAAAACTACAGATGTGTAAGACAGGAAAATCACTTAAGATTTGCACACAGGCTAACTTGTGCTACTTTTGTCTTTTAAAGTTAAAAGAAATTCTCTATATGCAACTGACATCTGTGTCTAGACCCTTTAGCTTTCCATCGCAATCAATGCTCAGACATTTTTGTAGAGTAGAAATTGTTTTGTTCGCTTACTCATTCTCTGGCCTGTACCACAGTGGCACTAATCCTGGTCTCTGAATTTAAAGGCCTGCTAGACTAGTTGTTGCACTAAATAGCTGCTAGTGTTGTCTTAGCACAGGGTAGGTGTGACAATGTAGAGAGGCCACCCCATCCTCCTCACATGGACAAGCTGTTCCTGGGTGTCAAACTCCTTGCTGCAGGCCTCCCAGTGGCAGTTCGTCTCGTACACAGCCTCTGGCTCCGGTTTCCCGTCTTCTTTCTCCAGGTCTTCCCGACCATCCAGCATTCCCATCAGTGGGTCCTGCGTGGCACAGGAGAAACACGTCAGCTCCAAGCATATACTATACACACGGGGCAGTCCGGAATGCCACATCTGGAGCTCACACACGCACACGCACACGCACACGCACACGCACACGCACACGCACACGCACACGCACACGCACACGCACACACAGGCAGGGGGCGGTGGGGTGGCTCTGTGGCTAAGGATCTGCGCCTGTGGCTGGAAGGTTGCTGGTTCAAATCCTGCGGCCGGCAGAGGAATCCTACTCCACTGGGCCCCTGAGCAAGGCCCTTAACCCCAGCTGCTCCAGGGGCACAGTATAAATGGCTGACCCTGTGCTCTGACCCCAGGCTTCTCTCTCCTCGTCTGTGTGCCTGTGTGACTCATGGAGAGCAAGCTGGGGTATGCGAAAAGATAAATTCCTAATACAAGAAACTGTATATGGCCAATAAAGTGATGTGTACCTGTGTCCCAGTGGAGGAGGGGCTGGGCACGTCCCCCTCTGATCTCTCCTCCAGGCCCTTCACACTCAGGCTGTCCAGCGAGCCTCCCATCACTGGCTCTGTTTTCATCTGAAACCATACAGCACAGTCCAGTTCCCACCATGCCTTAACCAAACACAAGACATGTTACACTGACCTCCACTTGTCTCATTTCATTTGTCCTGCACTGTCTAATATTAAATCAATTTCTGTCCCGTAGTATTTTAAGTACTTAAATAAATATGAAACACTTAATTGAATAATTGAAATGTAGTTTCACAGGAAGTGGCACACAAGTATTTATCTCAAGACAAAACACAAAAGGCATAGAACAGTCTCTGTACTTTTGAATCCCAAAATCCACTCCAGAACTTCCAGTGCTTTACATTGTATTTTTAAAAATAGCATTGTATAAGCAGCTGTCTCCCTAATGTATAATTTCAAATTCTCACATGTAAAATTCAGAGATAAAAGAGAGACCAGCGGAAGAAGAGCGCTTTTTTTATGGTGGAGCGGTGCTGTAGAAAACAAGGGAAAACGTGTGCTGGCCGTTCATTTCCCCTCATCGTGGCCACATGGCCGGCAGGGCCTGGGCTACTCACGTGGCAGTGCTTCGGGGGGCAGTGGAGCCGGGGGTTGTGTGACAGCAGGCGTGGAGGGGGCTGGGGTCCGTGGGGGGGGTGGCTGAGGGGAGGACCAGGGCTGAACATTGAGCCCGGAGGCTTGGCTTGGTGGTTAATCGAGCAGGAGTATCCCAGAGATGGGCTGGAGGAGGGAGAAAGAAGAGGGACTGGTCAGTCCGCTTAACAGTGAAACAGCACAATGGCGGAAACTAAAACACTTCCTAACTTCCAGTTTTGTATCGCCCTGGGGGTGCAGAACAGACCCACAAGATAACCAACAACTGGAGGTCAAGAACCACTGTGTGTGAGAAACCTTCCCTGGAGCTTTGAGTACTGTGTCAGTAGAGTAATTATATCAGCACTTCTATTTTCTGATACCCGCTCGCCTAGCGATGTCTCACACTGTCTATACATCTCAACAGTGAAGACCTCCTGTGCCCAGCCGGGGGGAGTGAGGAAACGCAGACGGGCTCCTCCAACCCGCATACCCACTGAGCCATGTGTCCTTTCATCGAGGCCACAGAAAAGTGTGGGAGAGGTGGGCTTTTTCTGTAGCGCACATCTCACTCGTGTCTGTGCTGTGCTAACGCTTCTCTTGTGTGCGCGTTTCTGGGAGGCAGTTCTGACCTCATGGCACCCACAGACAGGTGCCCGTAGGAGCCGTTGGCAGACCCGCAGCGGGCGTTGATGTAGGCCACCAGTGAGTTGGGCGAGGTGCGGATCATGGTCTGCAGGTCCACGCTGGCGTCGGAGAGGGGAGAGATGGACAGGGCACGCTTCTTACTGAGCTTCAGCATGGAGCGGGGAGTGGAGAACCGAGATCCTGGGAGAAAGGCAAAGAGGGGGTGGAGAGGAGCTTTGAGAGTACAACTGACAGGATGCACTTGTTACACAGTAGTGTGGTTTGTTTCAGGCTCCCTCTGCCCATTGAGTAAAGAAGTGCCTCTTGTTCCAACACTGAGAACTAGAGGTCGTTCTCGTACACAATGGGCTGTCGGTGTCCGGAACTAGCTGTCTTATCTACCCTTTGTTGTTGAAGCTTATACACTTGCTTCCTTCAAGGAGCTTGAAGTCTGCTTGAGATCCATGGATCAATCAGCTACTAGCCACCAAACAAACTAGATCAAATGGACTCTTCTGTCTGCACCCTGCCTTACAATCTAATGGTCTCAGTGTGGACACAGTAAGAGGTTGAGGAATCTGAGAGGATGAATGAGAAGAGAAGGAAGATAGAGAATAGAGAAACATAGCAAAAGGTTGCTGAAAGGCAGTGTTATATCCACAGTATGCATTTATAAATATAGAGTGAATGAGAGTATTTACAGTATATAAAAAAGAGGGAAACTGCCAACAAACTGCCCCTCTATAATGAATCTGAACCAAATCGCCCTTATTTGCGATTTATTATTTAAGGGAAATCTGTCCAGTGATGGATAACAGTGGCACAGAAAAACACCTCTTCACTATCTTTGTAGAGACGGAAAACCTTGTGAACTGTGGGGATAGAAGTTCTGTAGGTGCCACCACTTCGTCCTGAACAATTGTACATTGTGCTGCCCCTTACCATCTCCCGAGCCAATGTGTTCGCTGTCGGCTGGGTTCACCCCGAAGCTGTGGTGGGTGGCCATCAGGTTATTCTGGTTGCAGTAGGGGCCTCCGGTACCTCCTGGGGAAAAGCAGAGACACTCTGCATGAAGCAACCCCAGCGCATCGTAGCACCTCAGACTTGGAGATTCAGTAGACAAGATCAAGACTGGAGAAAGACGTGGCAACTGAAATTATATCATACTTTTTGGGGGGTGCCAGTCCTCACAAGAAAAAGGACTGTAACAGGCATGTGGTTCCATAACTTTGTTAAGAGAATCGTTGTGGATTCTCCTGGTAATGAGCCATAATGAGATGAGTAGGTGTCATGTTCCAAGAGCGGTTGTTTTACTACAGCCAAGAAATGACAAAAAATGATAAATCATCCATCCATTCCAACCACCTTCCATTTCAGGGTCATGGGGGAGCTGCAGTCTATCCCAGCAAGCGGCAGGTTCAGGCGGGACGCCTGTCCATCACAGGGTAGACATAGGCACGCACAGTCTTTGGACTGTGAGAAGAATTTAGGCACCTGGAGGAAATCCATGTGAACACAGGGAGAAACTCCACACAGACAGACCCCAGGAATTAGACCCAGGGCCCCTGCGTTGTGAAGCAGCAATGCTAACCTTGCTGTTGGAAGAGGTTGGTTGCTGTTGGTTGCTGCTGGAAGAGGTGTTAGTGGGGCCAGTAGGGGGCGCTCACCCTGTGGTCCATGTGGGTCCTAATGCCCCAGTATAGTGATGGGGACACTATACTGTAAACAGGCGCCGTCCTTCGGATGAGACGTAAAACCGAGGTCCTGACTCTCTGTGGTCATTAAAAATCCCAGGGCGCTTCTCGAAAAGAGTAGGGGTGTAACCCCGGTGTCCTGGCCAAATTTCCAATTGGCCCTTACCAATCATGGCCTCCTAATACTCCCCCTCTATGAATTGGCTACATTACTCTGCTCTCCTCCCCACTGATAGCTGATGTGTGGTGAGCGTTCTGGCGCACTATGGCTGCCGTCGCATCATCCAGGTGGATGCTACACATTGGTGGTGGTGGAGGAGAGTCCCCATTACATGTAAAGCGCTTTGAGTGGAGTGTCCAGAAAAGCGCTATATAAGTGTAAGCAATTATTATAATTATTATTAACCATGCCTCGCATGACAACTCATTTCAGATGTTAAACCTAACTCAATTCTAATATTTCCGACTGCTGAACTGTCACCATGTTGTCCTATTTTTAGCAAGGTGCAGTATGAAGGGGGAGCTGGGAACTCTCTTGTTGCCAAAGACTAGTTGAACATCACTCACCCTCAGCAGGAGGCAGGCCACGGGGTCCCATCATGCTCAGTGAGGGGTGAACATGGGGCGACCGCAGATAAGGGTCCATGCAGGAACCTGGAGTCATGGCAGGGGGCATGGGGTTGAACATGGGTCTGCTGGCTGCAGGCTGGCTGCTGTGGGGCGGAGGGTGGACCAGAGATACATCAGAGTACACAGGGCTGCCAGATGGAGCCAGACTGGAGAAACACACACAGTACAAGACAAGTTGGCACATTAGCACCAGGTTAAAGTGTAATGGCACTCTATTTTAAATGCTGCATTTCAGTGGAGATGACAGTTAAAATATTCTGTGATTGATACAATTAATTTGGATTCTTGTGGCAACACCCTGCTTTTAAACTGATATTTTCAGCTAGAATTTCTAGGCAAACCAGCAACTCAAAACTACTTTTATATGTTAGTACAACTGCTAAACACCCATTGCAACTTGACCAATTACTATCATAAGCCGCTTTGGATAAAAGCATCTGCCAAATGAATAAATGTAAAGTTAAATGCTCTGCAATGCAAATTCATCGTCTTTGCGATGTCTTATTTTCTCCACTAGAGGGGGCTAGAAGTTTGCTTTGCAATGTGCCACTTTCACCACTAGAGGGAGTCTGACTCTTTCTCACAGATGTGATGTAATTTAAGACAGACACACAGACTCAGCCTCCTTCCTCTGTGACTGCATCTCACAAATGGTGTGCATTTGGGTCATTATGAGAGGGAGGACAGCCTCAGCACCACATCACTTCCAGCATTTATATAGTATAAGCCTGCAATAGAGCTGCATCAGCAGCCCCTGTATGGCTACCCTTGCTGTCTGGCTGGATTGCTGACTCTGTGATCTCCCCAAAATGTCCTTAGCCCTGGGGACAACATGCTCACATCTGTGCTGTCCATTTTACACCCTGCTCTCTTGATAAGCCTTCTTTCACGGAGCATATTTGTGTATAGGTCTAGTCTTCTCAGTGAATGGCAAAGTGAACTAGACACTTGCAGAGCTTGTGTTGCTAACTTTGTTCATCCTATGAAAATATAAACACCCTTAATAAATCACAGAGCCCCACTGCCTGTATATATATAAATACCTGAGTGCATGATTGCACAAATGATAAAATAGCTCTCATTAGAACAGGATATAAAGGGATCAGACTCCCAATGCATTGTTGTATGCTTTTAGAGTATATTAAGAACTCCTATGACAAATTATTGTGCATATGTGCGTCTGTGTGTACATTTCTTTACACATGCTTTAGATATAAAGTGACCATAGTTTTAGAAAAAAAATATTTTCCATATGCTTATGCATGCTATCAGTTCTGAAGAATACTGTATTTAAAAGCCACACTCTTCTGGAAACCAGTTCTTCTATAAACCCTTTGAGATTTCTGCAGAAAACCAGGAAGAAAATTGTCGTCTTCTTAAAAAAAAGTCTGCCAGGCTGCTGTCGTGAAAGCATTGCGTACTGCAGCGTTTGGGAGCAGACTGGAGCTCCTCGTTCCCTCCTGCTCTGTGCAGACAGAGCCTTCTCTCTCGTCTGGCCCTGCCTGCTTGCCTTCCTAGCGGCCGAGAGCTGTGCACATGGATTAGGTGAAACATGAGTCAGGGTGCAGTCATGCACACCAGCCCATGGATGGGCTGAGCCAGGACATAATTAGCAGCTGTCATAAAGCGGGCTGACATGGCGTTCTCAACCTGGGTGGCATCAGGAGGGAAGGAGAGGGGGGAGAGGGAGAGGGGAGGGGCAGGAGGAGGGCAGGACAGGGCCGAGCTATCCATCTCTCCGCAGAGCCAGCACGGCTCTCTGACAGGTCAGCCCTGCACTGGCGGCCAGGGAGCACCGTCTAGCAAGACTGTATCCCCTGTAGAGCAACACTTCTGATACATTACTTTGTTCTGGTGGTGCGAACCTACCACATTTCCCTCCTGTAAAATATGGAGGAACCTTTGTTTCATATGCATTTAACTATGCCAGTCTAAAATGTCTTCAAAACAACTATAAATGTCCCCAAAAATGGTTAAACAAGCAGTAAACAAGAAGAATGATCTATTTATTTTGATGTTTTTTTTTTCCTGATAGCATTGAGACCACAAGGAATGGATCAAAAGAGTGCTCAGCCTGACAGAGGCCTGCAGGGTGAAACTGTTTGGTATTGTTCACAATCGAGACATCCAGTATGTGGGTACAAGCTGTGAGTCCATGTTGACTGTATCTGTTAACTCTGAAATCGTAGGCTTCGAAAACGTCACAGACGTTTTCCATGTATGTGCACTGTAAAGCTGTGGTTTTTAAAATGGAAGTGAGGAGGTGGTAAAATACACAGGTTTTTCCAAAACGGTGATCTTGAAAGCATGAATGATGCCTGTATCCTGTTTTCCCGAGTTGTTCTGGGACTTACCCTCTGGCTGGCTGACTGGGGCCAGACTCATAGTGATACAGGCCCTGGTGTGGCTGCATGTCAACTGGCATTGGAGCTTGGAATCCTGGGATACTGTCGTCAAGCCCTGGAGGACCAAACACAACAACATTAGGCTAGGGCTTTATTGATAATTAAAGTACATGAATGGATTATTATACAATTATCTACAAATGTTGATAACTTTATCTGACATTTGAGTCAGAGCAGATGTAGCTACACGTGTGTAGCCTAAAAAGTCAAAGCAGTGATGAAGCTAAAAGAATATGTTGAATAATCCTGTTAAGCGCTGTAATTTTTAAATAATATTTATTATACTGTATGTGTATGTGAGTTTGAGTGTGTGTGCATGCTCATGTTGGTTGTTGAGATTTTCTGTGGTTCCTATGAGAAGATGACTTGTAGGTGGTACAAAACCTCTCCCTGAAGCACAGTCCTTTAGGACTGGACCGTGGGTGGGATGTTATTATATTGCAGGGTACACACAAGCAAGCATATAGGATAGGAACAATGCAGAAACACAATTTAAATCAGCCAGTATCTCTTTGGGAAGGTGTAGGAAACTGGAGCACTTGGAGATAACCCGTTTGCACTGTGTAAGACCATGCGTACTCCACACAGATGGATCTCCCGGCTGGAATTGAAGCCAGGGTCCTGGGGTTGTGAAGCAGCAGTAAAAGATGCCACACCACAGTGCTGCCTTATGAGAGATGTAAGACTTTCATCATCTAATAATGTCTAATTTACTCTAAATCCCAACCTCTAATATAACACAAGGTGACTAACAGGCAGCTAACACAGGGCTTGCAGTGGGTTTTTATTGCTCTCCTGCTTGTGGCAGCAACACCTCTGACCCTGACTTGTGTTTGAGTTGGAACACTTACAGTATCCTTTAGCACATTGTCTAACTTAACTGTGCTAATTGAAATTAACAAGGACGGTAAAAGAAAGGACAGGAAAGAAAGAAAGATCCTGTACTAAGTCACGGGAGAATGACAGACCGGTCAGTGTGTAATTTGAAGACTGGATCAGCATGCCTTAATCAAGAGGAGATTTTTTTAAATAGGCCTTCTTGAGTTGGCTTCTCTGGGAATGTCCCAGGTTTCACTATTTTTAATACAACACAGGATTAAGGGCGGAAAAGAACAACTTCCTCACGCTAACTCATTAAGGAAACAGTTATTGTTTTATTGGACAACAAGAAAAGACGTGTGGGACTTCTGATCCTTGCAGTGTGTATGCATAATTTACCCTTGTAAGCCACAGAGCACTTAGAGTGGCCTACCTACTCATTACACTAAGTGACTGTGCTAAAGGATGTATAATACACTTTAAAGGAGATATACCATGGAATACAGTTTGTTTACAGAAGTAATTATAATGCCATAATACGCAGAGTGATGTTAAAACCACTTTTTAACTTGACTGAAAAATGGCACAGTATCTAGTCATTTAACTGCAGTTAATTTTCTTAACCTTTTATTGCAAAAGACTGCAGAGTAGCTTCTCATTATGTAAAAACAGCCCTTTTGATGAAAGGCTAGCAACATGCAGGCACGTGCTAACCACACTCATTCCGAACATTTTTAAACTTGGGGATTTTGTAACACAGATACAGACAGTGGGAGCATAGGTCGCTAGTTTTTTTTTGTCAAATTGAACTATGAGACGTTGGTGAGCAAACCTTTTAAAAGCTTTTAAAATTGGATTTTTACTCCAAACCCCTTATCCTTACAAGTGTAAGGTGAGCACTGAACGGCATCAGTGTTGTGTTAAGAAAACTATTCTGTTAAGAGAAAAACAAGCTGCTCTGTACAGCGAGCACTAAAGTAAGCACTGCAGCTGTCGTGGCCCAATAAATGCCTCCAAAAGAGCCTCCCAAGCCCACAGAACACAGGCACACCTGCTGCGGGAGTCAGAGAGCCGTGTGGTTACAGGGTAGCCCGTCCATGCTTGCCACTGTAGAATGGCAGTGCCCTGCCTGTGGGACTGTGGGAAATCTCTGCCTGTGCCACTGGATGGAATTCAGTTTCTCCATGAATGTCGATGGCCCTTGTCATTTGCACAAGCATGGCCCAGATGATTGATCTGGTTCTTTAATTGAGATGATTGATAAACTTCTGCTTAAGACGGCTTAAGATTATAAGACAACACTGTCTTTTACTTAAAAAAAACACATCGCTGTTGTCGAAGCACAAACACAACCTTTGCTGAAGAATACCATGTGAGAATGAAATCGAGTTTGTTCTGTGTCGTTGTAGAGGGGACAGGTCTGCCCTACGATGGATCGTTTTTAAGAAGTGTGCCTTGCAGCTCAGACAAGGGAATTGCAGTCCTGGCTGCAGGTCACAGGGCGTTAGAGACTAGCAAGCTTAAACGGCTCCATATCGTGGAGAATCGGATCGACTACGCTTTCATGTGGCTAGGCCAGCCCTCTGGAATCCCCTGTGCCTGTGGGGATCTCCCAGCCACAGGTGCCACGGACCTCTATTTTAAGTAAATATTTAATGGCAAATACAGACCTGCTGCTGAAGCATGCGGTACATCACTTGTGGTGAAAGAGCGATGTTATTTTAAAACCTTCACATTAATCACAAGTTAACTAAACAATCTTTTTTCTCTCTCTTTTGTTTGAAGAGCCAGGTTTTCAAAGTCCCTTCCATTTCCTGGCGTCACGTAGGAGCTCTGAAGACAGTACCAGTGCTCTTGCAGCGCACACCAGTTTCTGCAACTGGAAACAATTTGGGAAGGCACAACCACGCTTTGTTAAGAAAGCCCTGGGTTCAGGACACAAACCTATGTCAGGCGTTTCTGGTCGCATGTTGTTATTACTGTAGGTGACGCACAGCTGGATGTGCTTCAGCATCCGGCTGTCCAGCTGTTGAGCTTGTAGACAGATGTTAGTAGAAGCTGCAAACAGCAGCAGTGTTGGTGTATATTATGACCTTCCTGTAGCTGTGAATTGGATAGTTAGACAAAAATGAAAAACAGTTTACAGGGCATTAGATGACAAACTAGTTTTTAGAAGTCTTCCCATACGCTCATCAACTCTTGGGATGTTCAGCTCCTGGGTCCTGGGTGCAGGTCCAGGCTGGGATGAATCTGTATGGAGCTGATGTCTTCTCCTAGTATCCACGTGGGCTTTTGCCAGGTATTTCTGTCTCCTCTCACTTTCAAATACACGCGTGCTTGGTGAATGGGTGTCTCTAGATTGTTCCACTGTTTCTTGTGTTAAGACTGTGACATATGTCCCATCTAGGGACCTTGTTCCTTGTGCCTCTGGGCTAAGCTGTGGGTTGCTATGCCCTCTCTGATATGGTTGAATGGATACCCATCCAATTTAAAATACAGAACTGGTTTAAGATGCGACTCCTAAGCAAAGTTTCCTCTGCAACTGAAGAAAGAATGTGGACAGTATATGCAATCGCTTTCTAACTAGCATCATCTCCAGATCTTGACAGATTGTAGGACTGGGTCTTTAAGTTAAGGATGCTGCACAGATGATCCATTATAAGTAAAACATGCTTTTTGTGTGCAACATGTTGCTCAGTGCAGTTCAACAGGCTGCACAATTCTGCTGCAATACGGGAGTTACTACCTTCCTCTTTCCCTCTGCCAGCAACTAATTTAGTTGAAATGGTGAGGACTTTAATACGGTACAAGAAACAGCACAGTTCCAGAAATGGCATACAGAAACAGGATGAAAAAATATGCTCAAAAGCTCAAAAGTTGTGTTTTGTTGTATATGACCCATGACTCTACGCAGGAATCGCCTTCTTCAAGACACTTTACTGATGACGGTAACTTTTTAAAGCACCTGTCAGCACCTGTCGACCAACGAACCGCACCCGTTTGCAGACCCCTGCCTGCCAGCAGAAATGTAGGCGATGACGCTACGTTTGGCACAGCTTATTTACACTTCAAAGTAAATAAATGACTAACGCGACCACTTCCCACTACTGTTCATCTGTGTAAAGGTGCACTTTACAGAGCTTTGTGAGGAGAAAGAGCCTGTCCTTTCAAAGCCACATATTAGCCTTCAACACTCAGTATAAACAAGCAGTGATGTGCAGCCGGAGCTGCAGAGCCGCTAGAAAGTGTACAGCAAAGGATGTCTCTGCACATTTCAGAAGATCGCTCTATTGGCAGAACAGGACCAAAACCAAGGATACAAGGGGATCGTTCACTTATGAGCTGAAACGCACTGAGCACACAGGGGTTATTTGATCATTTTCTCTGTGCTCTCGGGCTTTTATGCAGAATGAAATCCCTGCAGAATTTCTTAAGAGGAGGGAGCCCTCATCGTTTGTTGCTGTGTCTTTTAGCCTCGCAATCAAACCTGACAATCTTGGTGATAAAAGCTGACTGAAGGCAGCTCTTAAACTGAGCTGAATTGTAAAAGCACAGTGCTGGAGCATCAGTGATTACACTCTCCCCTCTCCTGTTGTTGCAAAACAGAAAGCGGATCCCAGACGACTCATTTTGGAGATTCGCCCCGTCTCTGGCTGATCCCTTTCTGCGTCTTGTCTTCTCTCCGCCTCCTGTGAGCGCGACAGTCGCTTGGCACTGACAAACAAATGGCGTGGAGGCAAGCAACTGCAGTGAACGCAGAGACCAACTTGGAACGGGCGAGGGACATGCACACGGAAAGGCTGCTCAGAGGCCTCCCGTCTCTCTCCCTCTCGCGAGTCCCGCTCCTGCAGTCTCCCCCCGTTCCTTCTTTCTGTGCAACCCGCCCAGCCCCCCTTCACCCCTCCCGCAGAGTAAAATTACAAGCGAGGTGGGTGTTCTGGGGTTTGTTATGACTTGGAAGTCGATAATGGCTGATATAATGTAGCCAGCCATTCCTAATGTGGCTCAGCCTGTGGGGGATTCTGTTTTGTTTAGTGCAGAGGAAGGCAGGATTTTGGGACTTTGGCCAATCAGAGGGCAAATTCTACCAGTTTGCTCTTTTCTTCCCTCTCCCTGGTGTTTTTCTTCTCTGTGGTGAACTAGGCTTTTTAAGATCCCTTTACCCAAGTCCCTTCCCTCCTCCCATCCCCCCCAAACCTATAATCTTCTGCAATCCACCAGTTCTGGGGTGTCCTA